AGCTAGAGAGTGCTTTCTTTGTGCCCATGCAGGCTTTAGGCTGGGAGAATGTTGCAACCACTTGCCAGCCCCAGTGAGGGGATTGGGGAAGTTCGCAATTTCTGACACTGGCAGACTTTAGCTAAGGAGCGTGAGATTGCAGAACGTTCCCAATTGCCCACCCCTTCAAGGAGTGGGGGAGTGTTGCAACCTTCTCTGGTTTCAGCAAGCTAGTGGGATTGTGTCACCACCATTTACCCACTTCAATTAGCAGGTTAGGTAGTGTGCAGTAATGGTGTCCACCAGCTCCTCTGTCTCTGGGGAGCTTTTCAACTGTACCCCTCCCTTCCGGCCAGTGATTTTAGGTTAACAAGTGACTCTCTTTCTCATGTAGTCTGGGCGCTTTTTCTTTTCTTTCTTTCTTTTTTTTTTTATGGATGGTACATCTGGATGCTTTTTCAACTGATGGTTTTGTTTGTTTGTTGGGTCTCAGTGTGAGTACAACCACATATGAGCCCTTTAAGAGGGGAGCCTATTTCCCAGAGTACTTTGGGTCCCTTAGATGTGAACATCAGCCCCATTGGTTTTCTAAGCCAGATATTTGGGGGACACATCTCTCCAGTGGAGCTCCCAGGGTTTGGGGTGCCAGATGTGGGCACCAACCTCTTGCTCCTCTAGAAGTGCCTGTCTATTGAAGTTGCTCCGTATTGTGTGTCATCACACCAGGGGTGGGCTTTTTATGTAAGAGAGTGTATATGCATCCCCTGCCATCTCGATATGGTCCTTCTATTCCTTGTTGTGGAAAGCAGCAGTTCGTCTAGTTTTCAGATCATTTTCCAAAGGGAAATGATTCATATATGGTTGTAAGTTTGGTGTGTCATCTGTGGTGGGAGGTGAGTTTAGGATCTTCCTATTCCACCATATCAGACTTCACTTGTCTCATAAGCTTTAGATTGAGCTCCATTCTGAGTTGCATGGTGAAATCTCACGCCATCTTGTTCTGTCCCACCCGGGAACCCAGGACAGGAATCCTCCCTTTGTCCAGCACATCCAGTGTGTACACAACCTGCCTGTTAGTCACTTAGTAGCCATCTTGGTTATCAGATAGACTGTCCTGGTATTGCAGTGCTTGTCTTCAAGGAACCCTTATTTTACTTGGCAGTAGCCTCAAAGCTCAAGAGCAGTGTNAGATAATGAACATTAGTCAAGGGTGGTTTGGCTGTCAAAATCAGAAACTGCTCTGGCCGGGTTGGGCAAAAGGAATGTGGTGTAGGGACACACAGAAATGCAGGGAATACCCATGAAATGTTTATGTTTCTGGAAAGGCGCCGGCAGTTCCTCTTTTAGAGCCATAAGCTCTGTTTGCTCTCAGAACATATTTGTTCTGTTCCTCAATTGCTGTATTTTCAGAGAAACTTCCTATACATACAGGGTCACGTTACTTACAATTTGGAGTTTTCCAATTATGGGTGAACAGTTTCTCTAGGTAGGGATATGCTTATGAAGGAAATGACTGACACCTTCAGTGGGCCCTTAGAAATCACTTAGTTTAATTCTCCAAGTTCCTACCCTCTGATGAAAACAAAACCACAAGGTATGTGACTAAAGTTGGTCAAGTAACTGCTTGGTGGCAGGGCTGGGAATAGATAGAATCAGGCTTCTGGGGCTCAGGCCACCATTGTCCTAAGCTGGTCAGTCTCCCTGGAGATACAATAGCTTGCCCACCATACTTGGCAGTCAGAGGTGCTTTTAATATGGCCAGTTTTGATAGAGTTTGTCTTAACACATTGTTATACTTTTGCTTTCAAAACCAAAGGAATTTAAAACCCTTTAACATAACTTCTCAGGATTCTTTTGACAGAGCGCTAAAATTTATATTTCTCATTATTTCAGAACTAAAAGCCCCATTTCTAACCAAGATCTATTCTACGTTACAGATTGCAACAGAGGCAATAGAAAATATTAGGACCGTTGTGTCCTTGACCCAGGAAAGAAAATTTGAATCAATGTATGTCGAAAAGTTGAGTGGAGCTTACAGGTAATGAGCATATGATTGCTACCAAGTACCTGGTGTTTCCTGAGGCTGAATTATTGTCCCCAAAAGATAATAAAAACTCTGCTGCTCCAAACAATGATATGACTTATAAGGATGACATTTTTTCAATGATTATCTCACTGAAAATAAGCAGCTTTTTGATGATACTGAGCCACAAGATTGGATTTTTACTTATCTTGTGAAAACAATAGATTGGGTCTCCAAGAACTGAAAGGTACAGAGGACTGACTGTGCAAGTGTTGGTTCACCAGGGCAGGCAAGAAAAAAACATATCTGGGTGATTCAAGATAAACATTCTTTTAGGGAATTGCTCAAACCTTTATTTTCTTTGGATTGTGTAGACTGAACCAAAGGTGAGACTTGTCATTTGGTTAAAGTACGATAGTTCCCCTTTATTAGCAGTTTTGCCTTCTGCAGTTTCGCCTTCCACAGTTTCAGTTACCGAGTCAACAA